TGGATGAGCCTTGAGCAACCTGCTCTGGTGGGAGGTGTCCCTGCCCAGAGCTGAGAATTGGGACTAGGTGATCTCCAAGCTCCATTCCAACCCCTAAAACTCTATGATTCTATGATTACACACTGCATGAAAGACTGGTGTTCTCATTTACCACAGCTATTAGGTGTGTCCCATGTTACCTGACCAAGGTGTCACTTCCAGCTCCTCCTGGGCTGTAGTAGAGCACATTTTCTAGAGACAGGGAGAACTTCAGACCTTCTGCCTCCGAGATGTAGAGGTTGGTACGGTTGTTATCGTGGCTGACACACACAAACACCTGATCCTCTGAGGCATCAGCAACGTAATATTCCTTGGGGATGTAAATAACATATGTGTGTGCACACAGGCAGGTTTAGAGTTTCCTCTTAGCCAGCTGAAATTATTCTTCCCTCTAAACTTTCATATTTTTTCCACTCAGCAAGTAGAAAATCTTCACTTCGCTTTTCCTTTTTTCTTTCTCCCACAGTAATTCCTGTCCTCTCCTTTGCACAACCCGTGGCAAAGTCTCCCAGGAGAAGTGCTGAGTGCCAAGCAGTGATGATCTCTCTGCCTGGACCCCACTGAGGCTGGGAGTGCACCCCACTGCTCTGCCAAATGCCAAGACCTGCTTTTTGTGCCCCTCCTTCATCCCTGCCAGCCTGGGGACACCACAGCATATCTGGTTCATGGATCACAGACTCTTTGCAAACCCTGTGTGTCTCCTGAGCTTCCTCAGCCTGCAGAGAGTTGGATGCTACAGCAGAGAATTGGATGCTATGGGCCATGGAGACAGCACATGCTTGGTGTCCTGCACCCCACACCATGGGAAGAGGTAAGGTCCCCAAAAGTAGAGCTAAAGCACTGGGATCAGCCCCTCTCTGTATATCTGGGATTTCCTCCAAAGCCTCCAATCCCAGTGCTGGAGGAAGTCAGTGACTGTACAAGTACCAAGGGTCATCTCAGGTCCCTTCCCACTCCTGCAGCAGCTGGTGAAAGGCAGCAAACTGCTGCTGACTCTGGAGGGTGTCCTTGGCAAGGGAGGGAGAGAGGAGCCTGCCCAGGAAGCAGCACTTACCTTAATTGGGTGCTTGGTTACGAACTGTGCCACGCGCATCGGCTTGCGGTTGAAGGAAACCCAGAGCTGGACTGAGGGTGGCTGTGAGCTGCCAAGCAAACGCTGTGCAGAGCAGAGGGACATGTTTAGGAGCAGCTCTCACCCCCCAAATCCCCTTCAGCTCCAGCAGTGGCCAAAATTCAGGCAGGGATAATCCAGTGCTTGGGTCTTCCCCTTCCCGGCCTGTGTGCAAAGTGTGGTGACTGATGGTGGGAGCATCAGGGTTTAGATAGCCACAGCCAGTGCTCAGCAAGCAGACAAACTGCCCTTTCTCATCAGCTGGGTCAGGGGAAGGAGGCTGGTTTTAATTCCTCCTTTTTCTGCAGAGCAGCCTGTCCTTCCTATTTTTAACGATTTGCACAAAATGAAAAGCACCAGCACAGAGCCAAAGAGGGAAGAAGCTGGGGGCAACCTATTTCCTACAGGATGGCAATGGGAAGAACCTAAACCCAGATTTAGGCTCCAAAAATAAGCGGCCTGGTTTGTTGGTTTTTTTTTTCCAGGCTCTGTATCCCTAAGCAACTGTGCCTCCCACGGAAAGGAGCAGAAGTCAGAGCCCTGGGCGTCTCCTCCACTCAGCCTGTCCTCTCCCCAGTGCTGCTCCTGCTGTGACCAAGGTTTGCTGCAAGTGCCTGATTCCAGACCTGAGGATATCCTTTCCAAATCAGGGGTTTGTAGCTGGGTCAGCCTCCCTCTGCCTCTGTTTCCCATCAGTCTTTGCCTTGGTGTGGGATAGGGATGATTTTATTGATGTTTAGTGTAGCACCAGTCGTTAGAGCTGCAGGACAAAGCAGGACATGCTTTCCCCAGTGACCCCTGAGCCATCCACAGCTCCAAAGAGCCCCCAAACTGAGTTCAAACCCACCTCATGCTCTCAGGATGCTGCCCCCAAGCCTAGTGGCTTCTCTGCACAGACACAAACCACCCACTGTGTTTCACCCAACGCTACCAACAAGCCTAGATAAAATCTGCTGCAAACCACAGAGCAGGCACAGTGCCAAGGGGCCAGGCCCTATGAGTTACAGGCTGTACTCCCTGGCAAGAGAGACTTCTGAGAAACTGAAATTGCTCTGCAAACATGTTCCCTGCCAGTGTTGGACACACCACTGTGCCCACTTGCTGCTTACTGCCTAGGAAACCCTCCCTGGTTCTGCAAGCAGCCACCCTACATTGAAAAGTTCCCTCTTAAATCACCCCATGGCAGCTGCAGGGGAGCAAAGCAATGCTAGCATCTTCTAAAAAGAAAGCAGCTCTTTAAATTCTAGAAGGATCAGGACTCTTTC